ATTTATACTAGCACCTAAATCCGCCAAGGACCTCTCTACATGCAAATTCTCAATAGAGCACGGGATAGTAAAACTACCTGGGTCCTTCTGTTTCTGCAGAAGCTTGTTCAGCAGAATGGCCGAGCACTCCTCGCTGAGCTCCACAGTGGCCAGCTCGCTCAGCTTCTGCTTCTTTGAGAGAAGATCCTTCAGGAACTTTGCATACTTAGGCATTTGAGATAGTGCCTCCAGGAAAGGCACTTGGACATTCAGCTTCCTAAGCATGGCCATGAAGTTCTCGAACTCTGCCTCCAGCCTGTCTTTGTGCAACCGAGTAGGGAAGGGGAGTTTAGGGATATACTCCTTCACTACTGGTTGCGGTTTTGGTGCAGGCACCTCAACCTCCTTCTCTGCTTCTTCTTCAGTCACTGGAGATGCCGAGGCAGGGGCCTCTCTCTCTTGTGCCCGAGCAGGTGGATCAACAGTCATCTTGCCACTCCTGGTCCTGATGGCATTGCAGTGCTCATTCGGGTTCTGCGGGTGAGGGATGGTCTGACCGGGCAAAGTACCAGGAGCCCTTTGTGCCACTGCTTGAGCCACACTCCCCAGCTGGGTATGGATATCCTGCAAGACAGCCTGTGTATTCCTCTGGCTAGCTTCAAGAGCCAGGAATTTACCCGATGCCTTTTCCATGAACTGCTCGATGGTGTTAAATTTTTGAGCACTAGAACTGGCGAGAGAACCCACCAATTCCCGCAGTTCAGCCATCTGATCATTCTGCACTGGGGCGGCAGGGGCTGCACCTGGCTGCTGGAAAGGTCGCGGCTGGGATGGAGCAGCATGCCTCTGCATGGGCTGGTAGAGAGACTGCTGCTGCTGGAATTGCCCCTGTCACCCTAGTTCTATGTGTTAGGGATTGATTGTAATGACTTGGGATGATAATACTGTTTGATTTTAATCGAATGATGCATGTTTATTGAGTCAATTGAAGTCTGATAAACTTTTCCTGATTCCTGCTGCAATCTGAGATAGATAGAATCTGATTAGGTTGCTAGAGTCTCATCATTCGATAGTAGGAGATTGGCTATAAGAGAGTTAGCCAGTTGACTGCTTTGTACTGGAATCCAATTCCAGTAGTGGAGTTCTGTTCTTACTGCTTCAGCTTTCTATCCCGGTGAAGACTAGTCGTCTGCCGGGTAGATAGACTGAGAGGGCTTGGTCAGCTTAAGAGATTCCAAGCTACTGTCGGATCTTCCGCAGTCTAATCAACAGTAAATCAACCCAGAGAAATACAATTGAAACTTAACTAAGGAGCTAGGGGGATTCATTCCCGAGTGACTCTTTCCTGCTTGAGAAAACCGTATCAATTCCTGCTTTATTTCTGCTTTTGCTTTTAAACAACAATCACCCACTTTAGTTGGCTAGATAACAGAGAATCACTGAGTAAGCAGTAGATCTAGACCCCAGGTTGATAATAGAACTTGCCTGTTACTGCATTCCCGGTCTGCGATTACACTTGGTCGCAGATTGGTGTTGTGTTTTGGCGTGTCAAGTTTTTGGCGCCGTTGCCGGGGACCCTCTAGGTTATTGGGGAAACGTGAGAATTTGTTACTCTAGCTTTTTATTTACTGCATTTTATCTCTTCCACCTGTGTGCCTTCACGGGTTGCTTCTGCTGATTGTGTGCAGGTAGTGCATGACCCGTAGCTAGTCGGGAGATCTACTACCACTAGACCAGGAGCTTGAACGAACCTGCAGAAACTTCAAGCGGGCTCTAAAGGCGCGACTGGCTGCGGAGGAGGCGCTATCACAGCTGCAGTTAGAAGAAGAGGAAGAAGAGATGGCTGATCCACAGGGCCATGCTGTGATCGATCCCGAGGAGCAGACCATGGGACATTACTGGACCGCCAGGGCTGCAGACATGAGGTCACCTATTCAACATCCTCATGTCCCAGCCAACAATTTTGAGGTGAGCACCTCAGTAATCACCATGCTGCGCGGTTCAGTGGTGTTCCGTGGCAAAGAGGGGGAGTGCCCCCGATCACATCTCAGGCGATTCCACGAGCTCATTGATGGAATCAAGATCAATGGGGTACCAGCAAATGCCATCCAGCTAAGGTACTTCCCATTTACTCTGGAGGGGCAAGCCAAGGAGTGGCTAGACACTCGACCTCCGGGCTCCATCACCACGTTCGCCAACCTGGCGGACAAGTTCCTCACCCGCTACCATCCTCCGTCGAAGACGGCGGACTTGCAGAAGCAGATCACCCACTTCACCCAAGATGAAGATGAGACCATCCGGGATGCTTGGGAGAGATACAACAGTCTCTTCCTGAGGTGTCCCAATCACGGTTTCAACGATGCTTTCAAGGTGGGAACCTTCTATCATGCCCTTTTCCCGGAGGACAAGCAGCTGATTGATTCGGTTTGTGGCGGGAACATGCTGACCAAAACACCGCCACAGCTGAATCAACTCTTTGAGGAGATGGCGGAGAATGGGTACGATTGGGGCACTGCCAGGAGATCGAGACGAGCACCAGGCCGGGGTGTGCATGCTGTGGGCACCCAGTCATCTGATTTGGTGCAGGTGGTATCGAAGCAAGTTTCAGCTATCGATCGTTCTGGTTTGATTGCAGGTACCGGACAGCAGCAGGCGATGCTCTGCCAGTGGTGCAAGAGCACCCATCATACAGTGGAAGACTGCCAGGCGATGAAGGAATCGACCACACCCCAGGAGCAGGTGAACTTCATCAACAATGTCAGGCGCAATGACGCCTACAGTAACACCTACAATGAGGGGTGGCGCCAGCATCCCAACTTCTCCTGGGGTGGGGCAAGTTCCACAGCACCAGTCTCCAAGGGACCACCGGGCTTTCAGAGGCCACCATATCAGCTAAACCCTAAACCCTAAAACCCTAATCACTAAACTCTCAAAACTAAACCATTAAACCCTAAACCCTAACACAAACCCTACATAACAATATCCAAACATCTCAAACCAATATCTAGTGTAACCTAAATAATATTGTAAATAAAACATCTTAATAGTTAGATGCTTAAATAAACGTTGGACAACATCTTAATAGTTACCAAAAGTGCCCCATTGGAATATACAAATGTCCAAGAAAATTTCGAAAAACATGAACTAATATCACTTCAAACCAAAGCTGGACTCTAAACCCTTAAACCTCTTCCCAACACAAACTCTAAACCATAAAATCTATTATTATTTAATGGGCAATTACAAAAAGTGCCTCATTAGAATATCCAAACGTCCCAGTCAAATATACAAAAACATAAACTAATATAAATTCAAACCAAAACTAAACTCTTAAAACTAAACCATTAAACCCTAAACCTTAACACAAACCCTACAGAACAATATCCAAACATCTCAGACCAAATCTAGAGTAACCTAAATAATATTGTAAATATAACAAACCAATATCCACAACACACTGATTAACATCCACCACACACAAAATAATATCCACCCTATACTGACTAATATCCACCACACACTGACTAATATATGATAGTTGTACACTAATCCAAATAGTTACCAAAACTGCTAGATGCTTAAATAAACGTTGGCGACATCTTAATAGTTACAAAAAGTGCCCCATTAGATTATACCAACGTCCAAGAAAACTTCCGAAAACATGAACTAATATCACTTCAAACCAAAGCTGGACCCTAAACCCTTAAACCTCTTCCCAACACAAACTCTAAACCATAAAAACTATTATTATTTAATGGGAAATTACCAAAAGTGCCTCATTAGAATATCCAAACGTCCAGTCAAATATACAAAACATGAACTAATATAAATTCAAACCAAAACTAAACTCTCAAAACTAAACCATTAAACCCTAAACCCTAAACCTTAACACAAACCCTACAAAACAATATCTAAACATCTCAGACTAATATCTAGAGTAACCTAAATAATATTGTAAATATAACAGATCAATATCCCAAACACACTGATTAACATCCACCACAAACGAAATAACATCCAACATATACCGACTAATATCCACCACACACTGGCTGATATATTATAGTTGTACACTAATCCAAATAGTTACCAAAAGTGCTAGATGCTTAAATAAACGTTGGACGACATCTTAATAGTTACCAAAAGTGCGCCATTAGAATATACCAACGTCCAAGAAAACTTCCGAAAACATGAACTAATATCACTTCAAACCAAAGCTGGACTCTAAACACTTAAACCTCTTCCCAACACAAACTATAAACCATAAAACTATTATTATTTAATGGGCAATTACCAAAAGTGCCTCATTAGAATATCCAAATGTCCTAGTCAAATATACAAAAACATGAACTAATATAAATTCAAACCAAAACTAAACCCTCAAAACTAAACCATTAAACCCTAAAAGCTAAACCTTAACACAAACCATACAGAACAATATCCAAACATCTCAGACCAATATCTAGAGTTACCTAAATAATATTGTAAATATAACTGACCAATATGCACAACACACTTATTAACATCCACCACAAACGAAATAACATCCACCATATACTGACTAATATCCACCACACACTGACTAATATATAATAGTTGTACACTAATTCAAATAGTTACCAAAAGTGCTAGATGCTTAAATAAACGTTGGACGACATCTTAATAGTTACCAAAAGTGCCCCATTAGAATATGCCAACGTCCAAGAAAACTTTCGAAAACATGAACTAATATCACTTCAAACCAAAACTGGACTCTAAACCCTTAAACCTCTTCACAAAATAAAATCTAAACCATAAAAACTATTATTATTTAATGGGAAATTACCAAAAGTGCCTCATTAGAATATCCAAACGTACTAGTCAAATATACAAAAACATGAACTAATATAAATTCAAACCAAAACCAAACCCTCAAAACTAAACCATCAAACCCTAAACCCTAAACCTTAACACAAGCCATACAGAACAATATCCAAACATCTCAGACCAATATATAGAGTAAATATGGCTGATCATAACGGGATTCGGTACCAAATAAATATGGCTGATCAAGGGCATCGAACTCAGAATAGTGGTCGGGGCTGACCATAATGAATATGTCGTTGTTCGGGCTGACCATAATGGCGAGACTATAGATTATTACGGGGTTCTGGTAGACATTATTAAGCTGCAATATTGTAAAGGGCAACGTGTCTTTGTATTCAAGTGCGAGTGGTTCAATGTGGGGGACAAGAAGAATGGAATAATGATGGATAGACACTTGACGAGAATAAACATGGATAGAAAATGGGGTACAGAGGACCCATATGTATTGGCCAGTCAGGCTAACCAAGTGTTTTACATTCCGGATATTGAGAATGGTGGTGCATGGCATATCGTCCACAAGGTATGTCCAAGAACTGTGTACGATGTTCTCCAGAAGGAGGAAGCGGGACATGGGGATCCGGTGTATCAAAATCAGCCATACCAACTGGATGAGGACATTTTTTATTTTCATGTCAGTGAAAGCGACTTAGTGGATGTGATTCGTGATGATGAGGCACCAACAATCGTTACTGGGCCAGTCATACGAGCAATTGATAGACGATCTGCAGAAGTGGAAGCAAGCGGTGAGGAGATAGACGACGACAAATTAGATGACCATCATTTCACCACGAATGAAATTGAACACCAAGATGGGACTGATTTATCCTTCAGTGATGAGGAAGAAGCCTAACAGTAGATTATAAACATAATCATGTTAAGACATTAGCAGAATATTGGTGCGCCCTTCAAATGTTTGCAGATTTTTTTGGTAAATAGATGTGTACAGATTTTTGGGGGCCTTAGTTGCATTTTTACAAATTTCCGGAGAGCTTAGTTTCATTTTTACAGATTTTTTAGTTTATTAGATGAAGAATATTGAATTTATCTTAATGTTTGATTGATGTGAATGGAGTCTGATAATGGGGTTTATGCTTTCATATATGTGATACTAATATGAACCCAGGCAAAACATAAACCCAGATTGTGTCTTCAAAATGTATTTTGATGCTGGATTGGGTTTCTGGTGCAGTTTTGTAGTGTTTGAGTAGGAGGGAGACTGGGTTTCGTTCAATGGTTCGTTAAATGAATTGTCTTCTAAGCCCACATGATTTAAGGGATCAAAGCCCACACATTATTTAAGTCCCTCAAGGGCCCGTTTTAAAACAGGTAAGCGAAGACTAGGACTTCAGTCCTTCGTATCTGCCAAAGGCAAACCCTATTTCCCTCTTTTTCGAATCTTTCTCTGTCGCTACCTCTCCTATGGCGATTTCTCTCTGAACCTTCGCAGTAATTCCGACCGTTCATTGATTTGTTCCATTCTGCTCATCGCTCTAGTTTGGGGACCCGTGTCACAGGTAGGCGCTGCTTTCAGAATCGCCATTCAGGTTCTCCGAGCTCTGTGTATCATGCCCTCAATTCTCCAATCCATTCCAATTTATGTATATGCTATGCTCTGTTTATGTTGATGCCCTCGATTCTCCGATTTCTGCTCTGTTTAAGTCTATAGTTTGGTAGACGCTCAACTGATTTGTGCCTCATGTAAGTAGTTTGTGGATTAGGTTTTGGCTTTGAAGTCGGCGTTGCCCCCCTTCCTTGTTTTTGGCCGCCTCTGCTAAGCCCACGATTTATTCGCTACTAATTTAAATTTATAGGTGTTGGTTTGCTTAACAAGGTTGCATGCAAAGAATGATAAATTCAATAGGTTCCCTTTCTGGTTTTAGTCGTTTTCCTTCGGTGTTATCCTTCATTTTCATATATGGTGTTCTTTTCCTTCGGTTTTGCTTTGTTGGTCTTTGCAAGTAATCATTGTTAGCCTTCATCTTCTGTTATGGTATTATTTTTGGCTTAGCTAGTCTTTCTTGTTCTTGTTTTGGGTGCAGGGGCCTTTTGGTGGGCTTAGCTCCCTTCGCTATGTTTTAGGCCAGCACTCCTTGTGTACGATTTTTTACCATTATGTGAAACTTTCTAGTGTAGGTATGCCGCCACTCAAGAAGAAGAAGGTTGCTACTGACAAGGGAGTGCCGATCCCGGATTTTTAACGGGCGATAAGATCAGGGAGGGTGCGCCCGGAACCTGCTCAGTCCACCGAGTCTGTAAGCGAGGGGATTGGGCATCAAACTGGAGCTTCAGTGAATGAGGAAACTCAACGCACAGACACTGTGCGTCCAGACGAACCCAATGGTAACGACCATTCGGAGGCAGAAGCATCCAATCATGACAACGGAGAAGGTAGTAATCCAACTGGATTGGAAGGACCCCCTGCTAAGGAAGTACTACTGGTCCAACTTGACTAAAGCAGAGAAACACCCGTTATTCAAGAAGCTAGAGGTAATTTCAGAGTACTGCTAGTTTGATGTGAAGCTACTTGTAATTCTTTTTAGATTATGGGGAATGCAAGTTGTATCTCTTTTTAGATTAACTTGAGAAACAGTGGGATTGATGCGAAAGGATTTGGTTAGAAATGTGTGATAATATGTTTGTATATGAACTATATCATTGTTTTTTTCATGTAGGATGAATTTGACATAGACACATCACGTGAAGATGCAAGGAATATTATGTAGAAGAGAATGAAGAAACGGTTCATCAATTGCAAGTATGCGATGCATGCTCACTACCTGAAAGACCCTGAGAAAGCCAGGACAGACCCTCCCGTTGACATGAATATAGAGGATTGGCATCTGCTGTGTGATCATTTTGAGAGTGAAAAGTTTCGAGTGAGTAACTCCAACTGTTTCATCATGAATTTCCTTTGTTACCTTGCCTTACAATCAGTTGTTGCTTATTAATTAAATTTGTCGTATGCAGAAGCGAAGTGAAATTAGTAAAGTCAACAAGAATAAGCAAGTGTATGCACACACTTCTGGTGCAAAATCTCTTGATCAAAGAATATATGATGTCTACAATTCCATGGAACATTTATACATTCATACGGTATAGTTATGCGATTTAAATCCGCCTCAATATATTTGCTTTTTGTAGGAGAAGAAGAAGAAGCAGAAGCAGCAGGAGCAGCCTACTGAAGAGAAGCGGCCAACATAAATGGAGGACGGTGATACCGTAGAGGAGGAGCCAGTAGATCTGCTTCTGTATTCAAAGAGGTATCAGAGGGCTGATGGTAGTTGGGTATCAGATGAACCTATGAAAAACTATGTGAGTTCGACCATCTCACTTGCCTTGTTTCATTGTGATAAGTTCATAGCCAACCATGTTACCTGTTTCATTAACAATATTTGTTCAATGTTTAGTTGGTGCTGCAATCCATTTAAATAGAAGCAAAGGCAGAGGGGAAGCTTGTATCAGGCCACGAGATTGTTCAGACGATCTTGAAGAAGAAGCTGAAGTATGAACCCAAGGAGAACCCAAGATCAGCAAAGGAGCAACAACTCCAAGCGGAATTGGAGGCAGCAAGAGCTGAAGTGGAGAGAAAGGATAAGGAGTTTGAGGAGAAGATACAAAGTCAAGAAGAGCAACTAAAAAGCCAGGCCGAGAATATACAACTCTAGGAAGAAAATTTACAAAGCGAGGAGGAGAGGTTTGACACTCAAACAGAGGCGATGAACCAAATGAAAGCTGCCCAGGAAAAGCTACATCATCAAGTGCTAGTGATTGCTCGCCAACTACCCCGCAAATGAACTGCCAAGTCCAAGGTAACAACACTGCCTCGGTTTGCAGACCCAGATGAGATTGCAAGCTATTTTTTGGTGTTAGAAGTATGTTAGTTTCAGCTTTTGTGAACAAAGTTATCGTGGTTTGTGTACCGGTGAACAAGGAGTTTCATGTGTTGTGTCATGGTGGAACTTAGAATGTTTGTTTATGTTGAAAAAGGAGGTAGACTGTTATGGGAATGGAAATGGATGTGTTGTTTTGGATGTTTGGAAATATTTCCATGATAAGTTTGCAATGCAGAATGCACTATCGCATTATGGATTTTGTGAAGCAGGTCAAATGTGACAACAATGGAAAGTTATCATATTATGTAAAGTCCATGACAAATTGTCACTTCGTCATATTACTCAGAAGTCAATTAAACCACCTTTCTTGATGAGCTATACTTGTCATAATACGCAGTTACGACAAAATTGCCCCGTCACAATTATAAGTTATGACAAAATCCGTTCGTCCTAATATACTGAAATGACAAAATATATTCGTCATAGACGCACTTATGACAATGGATATTCGTCACAACATAAATTATGACAAAATAAATTAGTCACAACAATGTGATGTAAGAGTACAAAGTCCGTAATATGAAAATTTTATGACAAAACATGTTGACATAAATTTTCAGTTTGTCACATTATACACATTTCCTGACAAAAAAAGATTTTGTCATATTAGGCATGTGACAAATTATCAACCTTTCATGACAAATTATAATCGTCACAAAATACTGTTATGACAAACTATGATCGTCTAATATGACCAACAATTTTTCAAAATTACCAATTCATGACAATGATAATGACAAAAGGGTTCGTCATAATATCTATGTTTGTCACAATAGACTACCCAGAACCTCATATATACAGGAAGCAGATGTGACAAATGTGTTTCAAAAATTTGTCACATTTGACCTATCATGACGGCGATAAAATGACAAAACCTTGTGACAAACAAAATAGGTATCTAATATGACCAAATGTACCCGTCATAATAAGCCAAATTTGTTGTAGTAGGACACTACTATTATTAAACATGTTCTCTAGGTTGCAACTCATTTGTTGTTGTTGTTGTTGCTTTGTAAGAAAAAAAAAACTCATTTGTTGTTCTATTTTAAACACTATGTAATAGTAAAAACATTATTCTTTATTCCTAATTATTTTCAAAACCTAACAATTAAACACATTTGAGCTATCCTTAATTTGAATTGATTTTATAGGTAAACTGCAAGATTTGAAAGAGTCTTTCAAGTCTAATTTGAGATACATCAGGAACAAGGTTAGAAATCGAATATTTTCACTATCTAATATGGTATATTTTCACTAGTCGAATATTTTTTTATTTATGAATTATTTAATTTTTATTTTAATTTAATTTTTGGAAGAGGACACCCCTATAAAATATTTCTGAATCCGTCATTGGCTACATATCATTATTATGAACTCATTGAGGCCTTAAATGACAATGTGTTATCATTAATTCCTTGTGTGATTGATTAAGTAATGGGATGAAGCAAAATAAAGCATTATTTAGTTGTATTTTTTTTTACATGAAGTGAAAGAAAGATTATGAATGTGTTAGTGGAAGAGATAGAATATCTCTTCATAGTGGAAGATGCAACAATGCATTTTATTAATGAGATGGAGTGCATAATCATCTAGATGAAACTTCTTAACAATTACGTACCATTTAATGATCTTCTATATCTATATTACCAATCATTTACTTTATTGATTTGTTTATTTATGCCTATCTTGAAAACCAACTAAATATAGGGATCCTCAACCCATCGATTTTTATCTTTGTTGTGTCTTTGTTTGACCACAAGTTATTTGTTCGAGATTAGTTGCTATAACAAGACCTGATCGAATGCGACCTTAGACGTTTATATGATTTTTAGTACTTGGCAATACTACTACATATATTGTGTATGCATATTGCACATCAAGTTTTTGGTGCCATTGCCATGGATTCCTAATTGTATATGAAAGTAACTAACCATTTTATATCTCTTTGTTATCTTTGGATATTTTTTTTGTAGGATTTTTTATGA